TGATCTTCCATTGTTACATCAAGGTTGCACGTTTACTTTACGAATACTACGACCCTATGAAGGGTGAATACTAGAATAGTTATTTTGGAAATAAATACTGACTTGCCTCACGTGGATCGTGAATTCAAATTGTGTCTGTATTATTTGATTGCTTTCTGTTTAGTGAAGTCGGTGGTGTACAACCGCCGCCCTACCCTGACGCTCATAAATAGGCCTAATTATCCTGACAGACGAAGGAGATTCGTTACAATATATACATATACATACATGCATACATACACACATACGCACATACATACATACATAATATACATAATATATACATACATACATATACATATATACATACATATATACACATATACATAATATATATGTATACTGTATATATATACATATATATATATATACTCTATATATATATATATATATATATATATATTATATATATATATACCGTAAAATCTCGAATTGGATCCCCCACTTTAGTTTGTAAAATCCCCCACCTCCCCCTCAAAAAAAAAGAAAAAAAGGAGAAGCCCAGGGCTTCAATTCGAGGTTTTACGGTATATTGACAAGCTTGAGTGTCAACCTCAATTAAAAGTATTGTGCTAGTATTACCTACTTAAAATGTATGTTAAATATAAAAAATATTTCTTCGTTACTAACGGTACTGTATAGGTGTACGCCACAATGCGAAACCTCGCAAAAAGCAGTGAGCTTAAAGAGAAAGGCGGAGAGCTACTGAACAAAACTATGTTTCTACGGGAGCTGGACGTCACAGACCAGTCGACAATCGACGCAGTTGTTAAAGAAGTTATTCAGGTGGACAAGAAGATAGACGTAGTCGGTAAGTTTATTATATCAGTATACAGTAGGCAAGAGAAAAGGGCCGGCAGGAGTTTGTCTATTCTTTTTGTTATTTTATTAACTCCATCCGTACCCTGATTCAAAAGCTATATTCCCAGACGTTTTGCTGATTTGGTAACGAGGTAGAGAAAATGTCAGACTAACCACGTAGGCCTACACAATGGAAGAGAATTGTAAAGGGGCTAAGTCCCACTAAAAAAAATCAATCAGAAAGTACGTCACCTCTGCACTTTTTTTTCTGAAACCCCACAATGAGTGGCAAAATAATGTGTCAATGTTCGTGCAAGATTGAGCATCATCTTTGCCAATCATGTTATGGGTTTATGTGTAATTGGGTGATATCAGGTATGATTATGAAGTATTCCATTATAAAGCTATGTGTAGATGTGGTTAAATTCAGGAAATCCGTTAAGACGTGATCTTGGTCTATACTATACACATAATTATTTAATTACCGTATTAGTTCATGCGATAAAGCGCTTTGTTTTGATTTACACACTAAGGTTTTATTAATAGTGACCGAGGAAGTTTTTGTGGTTGTCTAAATAAAGCATTTGTTTGTTGATGTAACCACATTGCAACATCATCATCATCGTCATCATCTCATTATGATTCAATAAATTATGTCTACTAATTGGGCCTACTGCTTTCTTTGAAACAACGAACTGTTCATTAGAGGAACTCATTCAATAACATACATTACTCTGGAATTAAAAGATGATTTTCTTTACTTCAAAGTGTAGGCCCCTGTGTTTATAAATGGTGTGCAGTCGATGAAGATGAATTTGTTTACAATGGACACGTTTGTCAACGCCATGTTTATAATGTAATTACCGCCTATCAGAATTGTGTCATCATGGGTCATTTTCTACTAAAGTTCCATAGTACAATGCCATGTAATTTTGCAGTCATCAATTCCATTTCTGTCTTCTTCTTTCTTCTCCCTCTCTTTCAATTCAACTTATATGTTACACAATACAATCACTATAAAATTTTACAGTCGACTACGTCTGGGCCTACAAAGGTGTGTGCCGATATGTAGGAGGTCAATACCTGTGAGTCATCGTAAGTCGATGGCCCGTGAGCCCTCCAAGCTACAGAGGCACTCTCCTCCAAATTCAAACAATCTTCCACAGGGACTGTATACATATTCCTTATGTTTATAACACCCAATCTTATCTCTATTAGGATGCACTGGCGTGTCTAGGACGTGTGAGTGGGGCCAATCTCCCACTTCCCAAAATAAAATCACGCTCAAGCAGTAAAAAATCACCTTATTTTTGCAAGGTAGCGCCCCTCACCCAAGTAACCTCCCCCCACCCCCTACCATTTTAAGACTCCTAGATATGCCACTGTCAAGATGAGAATTAACAACCAAACATAGGTCTATGCCCATGATTTTAACTTAAAGAATAATTTATTCAGCTGCTTTTGGTGATTTCATAATTTATCTGAGAAATTGATACGAAGCTGATCACGTGTATGGTTTCAAAATGTGCATTTTGATGAGTTTTAAGTGTACTATTTTCGTGTTTCTGGGTCAACTTGAATTGTGTGTAAGTTGAGAAGAGTAGATAACCTAGAAGCTACAAGGAGCTGTAACAGATGTTCTGGACGTTCGTGGAGTAATCTCGACAAAATGTTAGATCGAAAGAATTGATTGCTGTTTTTACATCAGTTTGTATTAAGGAATATTTAAGCTGGTAGCCATAAATTAACTTGCTAATGGCGCATTGAAGATATAAGGTCAGTCATATAAATATATGACTAACGTAAAATATCTTTCACGCCAGTCATAATATGGAACCCCTCTAAAAATCAAATATTAAATTTTAAAATTACCAAATACGGTAGGTCTAAATTTTCTAGTCAAACACAGATCAAAATAGCTGAAATACTGTATCCCTGATTTACTGTACATATTGTCACAACAATAATCACTAAGCCCATTAACAACAAAGGGACTATGCAAATATTTTAGAAACTATATTTTTTGTGCATCTATTGGACGCATATTTTTTTTTCTAATTTCCATTTGAAAAGTAATAATAACCTAAAAGCAGGTTATAGGAAATAAAAGAAAAAAGAATAAATTTGTATTGTTCTTGATGTCGCTTTTGCTGCTGCTGTTATTATTATTTTTGCTGTTGTTTTTGAAAATAAAAATAGCCTACTAGGTTTTTCAAGGTTTCAGCTCAGCCAATGTGCAGCCCAGCCTAGCCTAGCCTACAGCCTAGCCTAGCCTACAGCCCAGCCAATGTGCCTCTAACCATCATTAAATGCTGGTTGCTTTGTGCCTCATTAATTGCTAAAGAAGTGTTCTTGTCTTCGCGGTTTAGTTAAGTTTTCAAATGCAATTAGACTCAAAAGAGTGTCCCCGGCTGAGATTCAAACCGAAGACTTTCTAATTACCATCCCGGTGCTGACCAACAGAGCCCAGTAGTGTAATCCTTAGATTTTCCATTGGATTTTCTAAATGTTTCATAAAAACATATAAATCAACAATATTAAATATCATTTGATATAGGCTTTATCTGTTGTAGCTCATTTTGGTATTGAGTATTGAATCGCCGTCCTCCACCTCATCATCATCATCACCACACCCACCGTAATCACCATAATTATAATCATTATCACTTTCACACACCATCATTATCAACATCATTATTATCATCATCGTTTTTGTGCTGTTGGTATGAGCCTTACCTGAACCACATCTACAGTACCTATTCATTTTCTTATTCCAAAGTGCATTTAATTTCTCTGAAATCCATGTCAGATTATTTAATTTGGAAGGAATTTTTGTAATGTCTTCAAATTAAGGTGACCCTTTCGTTGTATGTAACAGGTCCAACTTTTCCAGAACCCATAGCGGGAAAGGTGAACTACTACATATTACATTATACCACGAGATATAATCTTTCATGTATTTTATTGTTTAAAGTGAACAATGCTGGTATTGGTAATTTTGCAATTTTGGAAAGAGTGAATATGGACACTATTCGGAGGGTGTTTGAAACGAATTTCTTAGGTACGGTTCGAGTTACTCGGGCCGTCCTCCCGTACATGAAGAAACAGGCAAGTGGTAGTATCATCAATTTAAGCAGCCAAGCAGGATTTTTAGGTAAGCTAAAATAATATCAATCAATCAAACAAATCACTATATATTCGTGCCCAAGTTTATCACACATTCACCCCTCACACATAACCCTTATAT